CTTGAAGTATACAGTATACCAAATTACCTCAATCCTCAAGCTAGAGAGCAAGATGTTTTCTGTTTGCTTTGATTTATTTGGATTCTGACAAATCATGCACATTTAATCACATATTTTAAAAATTGGCTTTTAAAAGGATAATACCTCTATTATAACCAACAGAGAACCTGCAGGATAGGTTAAACATTTAGGTTTATTCTTAACAACGCCAGTGCCACATGATTGTGTGAAATCCATCACACTGATGTAAAATGGGGATTTGTCTTTCTCTGTAACAGCATGCTTTCTTAAGTAAAGTACAGAAATATAAGTAAAAATGCAAGACAGATGTCCTGATGTACTCAAAGTTCTGAAAAATAATAGGGTGATTTCTAGAAGTATGGTTCATGACTGCTGAAGAATGGCCCAACAGAGAAGGAATATTCTCCTTACCACCTGGTTTACAGCTGTTCATTACAACTGAGTTGGATGAAAAAATACCCTTTAAAATTCCAGTTGGTAGCATGGTATTCCTACATTATTAAAAAAATAAATGTAAATTTATGTGAAAAAATTTACTGACATTTTTGCAGCCCCTTAAAATTTAGTGGTCATAAGTTCAGCCAGTGTGGGTTACAACAATTAGCAAACGTAACTAAACCTCTCCATGTTAATAGTCATACTTGGGTGACCGTGACATACTTGATATGCAGTGCTGAGAGTGCCAGCTGGTAGGTAGCTCTGCTAGTCCTTTATGAAAGAACTTTCTCTTTTCACATTGCAGGCAACATTATCCAGGTACCTCCTATGTACTTGGATAATTCCAATCCCAGGAAGCGGATTAATACAGATAAGTGTCATGCATAACATCTGGCTTTAATGCATCTCTCCTGTATTTTACCTCCAAGCTAAAAATGGTCAAGTGTTCTATAGCTGTGAAGGACTGAAGCCCAGATGTCTTCACGTATTAAATGAAAAGAGTAAACCTATGCTACTAGTTCACATAAAAAAACAAATTAAAAATCTAAAAAAGCAATATGCATGCCTTGATCTTTTTAATTTCTATCCTAGCATCTTCAATTTGCTGGAGGCAACTTGGTAAGCAATCTCAGAACATGAATAATCAAACTTTAGGCAGGGTGCTTTTATTTCAGTGAGCAGATGTTGGTCATTGTGCAACAGCGTTGGTAAAACTGACAAATAACACTTGCACATAGTACGCTATACTATCTTAAGTCAGTGGATGCATCTGGTTTAGTACTTCAGACATTGGACTTAACATTCAACCCTGTACAATACAAATATGGTAATGAATTTTTCATGACCATGTGAAATGCCTGTCAGTAATAAATCAGAAGCTCTCTAACTTAGTCTTGGGTCTCGTGAAGATGACAGGTCTTTTTCTTTTATTGTCTGTAACACATGCCAAATATTTTTATTAACCGTTCTACATTTTTTTACTATTCATTCCTCTCTAAATCTGCTGAAGTGTGGTGATAACGTCTGTGCCAGTGTCCCATGTCTGGTCTATCCCACTTTAATGAAAGTAAAGTTATTTGTTCTGGAGAGCTAAAGGAATTAAAACCTCATAAATTTTATTCAGCAGCACAAGAACACTCCATATAATAATATAAAGGTATCTTAATTCTCTGTAAAACTTTCTGTATATAGTATGTGCAATTATAGACAAACACATTTTGCTCTCTTGCAAACATAATGATGCTACCGCTTTGTCAATGGTGATTAGCAATCAGTGCAGCAACTCTTAGTCATGGATTAGCAGGTAGCAATTAACAGTTTTCCGAGTAGCTGGTAGCATAATAAGAAGGTGTAATTGGCTTTCTGTTGTGCATTCAAATGGTGGAAAGGTGCAAGTAATTTTTTATAGCTTCAAGACAGATTTGTGTGCTTTGGAGGAGCTGTACGCCTCATTTTATACAAACTCATTCCTTACAAAAGAAGCAGTCATTAAATAGCAGCAGAGATATGTTCTCTTTATCAAAGAGTGATTGTTGAACTTCTGTCTGTTCCAAAGAGTGCCTGCTATGTAAGACATTTCTTAATTTTGAGATTAGAATGTTCTGACCTGCAGCTATGAGTATTAAGAATTTCAATAAGATTTTATTTTCTTTGATAAGAAAACCATGTGTCCTTCTGTTATGCATTTTTTTCAGTCAATCGTATAGCTATGCCTTATAGTCTAGAAGCAGAACAGGCATTCAGCCATGCAGAGCTGGTTTTTAATAACATTACTATAGTAGGGGATAATCAGACATTTATTGGTCTCTCTAAGCTTTCATTTCATTTTGACCACTTGAGTAGGTAATATGTTTATGTATATTTTAGACATAATTCATTACTTAGACATTCTATTTAAAGGAAACTGAGCCTTGTAACCATCTGAGTGGAATAGCAGTTAGAACACTGGACTTGTAGCTGGAAGGTAGCAAATTCATATCATAGGTAGAATACTGTTTATGAACTTGAACAAGGTCCTTCATTCATTGGTAAATTGTCCAACAAAAATGTCAGCCAAATAATAGTAATGATAATTTGATGTCTTCTGGAACAAGAAATGAACACTCATTATTATTTACTTGGTAAATTAATAAACACATTTTTGCATTTGTTTAATTTCTGTTTAACCATTAGACTGACTTTAGAAACACAATGACTTATAAAACCTAATGGTATGAGTCTGGTTGGGATCAGGGTTAGCCATATTTGCAGCAATAGAAAAACAGGATACCACTAGCCTTGATACATTCAAACCTTAGTTGAGGGTTCATGGGAAAAAAACACTTTATGAACGTCTTCATCAGTTGTTGGAACACCTATAAAAATATCTAAAGCTCTATATCCAATACCTAATTAGAACACTTATAAAAATATCTAAAGCTTTATATTATTGATTCCCTCTGGAGAGTCTGTTTTTGGGGGACAAAAGCTGTTGGAACCCACCTTGTTTGTTTCCAGGTTTTGAAAGTCTCTATTAAGTTATGCCTCAACAGTTAGTGAAGCTGAAAAGATTGAATTCATTCCATATCTGCTTGTGTTTCTTTCATTTTCAAGTTATCTGTGCTTTTCCTTGCCCAGAATTGAGAACAGTGTTCTAGCTGTGGTCTGCCCCTAGCAGGGTACATCTTCACTGCAATCTGTCAGTTGACTGTCATCCTTCTGCCATTCTCAACTGCTGCTCTGCCTTCCCTTGATGAATCCACTGCAGCTAGATGTGTTCCTTTTAAGCTTCCATGTGGTGGTGTCCCATATACTTTATAATCTTAAACATTCTAATGTTATGTTAATGTTAAGTTTTTTTGTAATTTTACATTACTAAATACCCTACTAATTTTACATTTATTTTGCAGCAGGACATAGAATCCATATGTCTGTATCTATATTATAGATTTGAAATATCTCCTGACATGGTTATCTGCATTCATATTATTTACGAATTAAACAAGTGCTGTATACCAATACCATTTACAGACAAGTTGTTTGTTCAGTCTTGAATTGCTGAACCGAAGATACATAACCACTATCTACAAATGGTGGATGTACCTTAGGTCTTTCATTATCCTTGGAAATGACTTGCCAGTGATTGTGTGAGGTGACCAGGAAAGAAAAGCTTGTGAACTTTGAATTATGTGTCTGTTTAGAGCTAGGAGATGTTTACAGGACATACAGTATTGCTGGAACCAGCAGGAGCTGTGAGGCAAAGGAAACCAAACTGTTAATCCCCTGACTTACAGCACTCGGTGATGATAGCTGAGCTACGCTCTCGTTAGAGTTAGGATGGAAATAAAATCTCTGATTTCTACTGATCTGCGGGAAAATGATAAGAGACTTGTAAGGATGTTATATAGTACAGTGTGGAATACAAGGGTTTTCCTAACAATTTTGTTAACAAGGTTTGCACTGCTAGCAGTAAAGCCATATACTGTAACTGTACTGTAACACAAGTCCCATGATGCCTAAAAATGCAGGTTACTTTTAGTTACACAGAAACTTAGATAAGATTTATATTAGTGTTGTTACTTTACTAAACTTAACCTGAGACCATAACAGTTTTCTAGGCTTTTGATTTGAACTCTTCTAGAATTTAGTTTCAGTTTGAGTTATGGACTTCTTTTGATAGATATCTTTTATTTTCTCTAATTAAAGTGTATTTGCATTTGTTAGCTTTGAATGCGCAGGTGTGCAAACACCAAACAACAAAATGTGTGAAATGAAGACATCTATACTTAGTAGAAGTATAGATCCTACACAATTTCTGTAGTATTGCCTTCTACTGTATGTGTAGTATTCACAACCTGTGGATTAGACAAAGAACATAAAAACCTACCGTATTAGAGGGCAATGAATGAAGGTAATTCATCCAGGGGGTTTGAACAGGCATTTAAAGCAAGAACAGCCCCCTCTCTGAATCATCTTACCTCCTTCTATTGTAACATACATTGCAATGATGTGTATAGCAGAGCACCTCCTATAGTGGTCCTTCACATTTTATTATAAAAAATGATGGAAAGTTTAAAAATGATGTCATGGCCTGTTTTATGGAACAGTAAGAAAAAGAAAATTGAAAATGAATGGGGAAAATAGTATTCAAAGACCCAACATGTAAGCTTGGGGTGGGTATTGTTTCACATCTGAATTAGGAGTAAGGTCTGTGTGCAAGGTTGCTTGATGGCAGTTTCATGGTTGATGCCACTGTCCTCTGCTTTGAAACTCCAGGTTGAGCCTTTCTCTGCAGAGTTGAGTAAGTGCATATTAACATTTACATTCCCTGTAGCTGTCCACTGTGAAGTGTGACAGTGAATAAAATTTGCCCAAAGGCAGGGAATCTCTGGAGGGCAATTTGTGTTTAACCCCCAGCCAATGCTGATTTTTCTTAGTGTTTAATTTCAAGCTCTCAGTAAAAAGAGCTGTATGCCTGTAAAGGATTGTGCTGTTTGAAAATGAATATGTGGCAAAGTTGAGACTATTTTAACTTTTTTTCCCCATTTTTTCCTCATTTGTAGGTTCATGTAAGCCATGGAATACTTTTGACTACATCTTAAACCTTAAATCAACCCATTCTGTTTCATTCTGAAGTGAAGAGAAAAAGGAACATTTTTTTTTCAGCTAAGGCATCCTGCCCGTCCAAGACATTTCAGCTTGTAAAATTATTTGAAAACAGCCCTGAAACTTTTTTTAAATCCCAAAGCGCCTTTTCCAACTTTTGTGCATCTCAATGTGGTTGCACAAATCAGAAACTTTAATAGTAATTGTGTATCAAATATGAACACCTGGGACCTGTCAGCCACACTGTCAAAATAAGCTAGAAGTGACTCTCGAAAACAAATCCTCCGTTTTTAAACGTTGTCAGGCCCTTTTCAGACGTTATTGGTCCCAGCCCTTAGTTGGCCGCCATGTATGGCAGTGCCCGCTCAGTTGGCAAAATGGATGCCAGCAGCAGTGGTAGCAGCCAGAGCCCAGGGCGCTCGCCGCGACTGCCTCGCTCCCCGAGACTGGGCCACCGGCGGACGAACAGCACTGGAGGGAGCTCGGGCAGCAGCGTGGGCGGGGGCAGTGGGAAGACCCTCTCCATGGAGAACATCCAGTCGCTCAACGCTGCCTACGCCACCTCGGGGCCGATGTACCTGAGCGACCACGAGAACGTGGGGGCCGACGTGCCCAAGAGCACCATGACGCTGGGCCGCTCGGGGGGGCGCCTGCCCTACGGGGTGCGAATGACGGCCATGGGCAGCAGCCCCAACATCGCCACCAGCAGCGGCGTGGCCAGCGACGCCATCGCCTTCGGGGACCACCACCTGCCGGCGGTCAGCATGGCCTCCACCGTGCCGCACTCGCTGCGCCAGGCCCGGGACAACACCATCATGGACCTGCAGGCCCAGCTGAAGGAGGTGCTGCGGGAGAACGAGCTGCTGCGCAAGGAGGTGGAGGTGAAGGAGAGCAAGCTGAGCTCCTCCATGAACAGCATCAAGACCTTCTGGAGCCCCGAGCTGAAGAAGGAGCGGGCCCTGCGCAAGGACGAGGTCTCCAAGATCACCGTGTGGAAGGAGCAGTACCGGGTTGTCCAGGAGGAGAGTCAGGTAGGGCTCAGGGGTGTTTTCCTTCCATTCCATGGATTTCCATGGAGATGTATAGGTTCACACACAGTGTTCTTCGAACCAGGAGTGTAGAGGAAATAAGATGGTGATTTGAAAACCACACAATGGCTTAGCTCAGTGGTTCTCAGTCCTTGTCCCGGAGTTCACCTGTCTGCTGGATTTAATTCCAGCTGGGCCCTTAATCACTATTGCTAATTGGTGCCTGTAAACTGATGTGCTTGCTGGTTTAGACTTTTTTTCTACACCCTGTCCTTGGCTTCAGAAATACCCAAGTTAAAGTGTATTATTTCCAGCAGCGTCTGCACACAGTACTTTCTGCTACCTCCTTTCAACTCACTCTTAACAGGTTATAATTGGCGATTGTCAAGGGTGGGAGTGACACTGCGCTCAGTTTGCACACCTCAATGAAGGCTTGAAACTCGCTTATCAGCACAGGGTTCTTGTCAATTCCTAATCTCATTTAGCTTTTTCAGAGCTGAGATCAGATTTTAAAAACAGCGTCAAAAGACAGAAAACACAAGGGATACAGTACCTAGCACCAGGACTGAGTGACAGTGTACAAGAGTATTTTTTTTCAACCTAGGATTGAGTACAATAAAAAAAGACTAAACAGGCAAGCACATCAGTTTGGGGCGGTAATTATCAGTGGTGATTAAAGGTTCAGGGGTAACACGAAAACAACAGAGACAGAGACAGAGACATTTCAGAACCAAGACTGAGAACTACTGGTCTGTTATGACTTCATCTGGAGTACAGCATGCAGTTCTGGTCTGTACATTAAAAAAGGACAAAGAAGCATTAGAGAAAATCTTAAGAAGAGCAGCAAGACTGATCCCTAGACTGAAGGGGATGTGTTATAAGAAAAGGCTGAAGAAACTGAGATCTTTTCAATCTCAAGTAAAACATTTCTGAAGGGGAGACTTGATTCAGGACTTCAGTTTTTAATGGAAATTGGTAACGTTGTTCCGATTAGATATTGCAAGTTGAGTTTGATGAGCAAAATGCAGGGACATTTATATTACAAATTAATTTATTTCAGTCTTACAGAATGTGTAAGGTTTTATCAATGCTTTGATAGAATTGTCGGAATATCTTGTGGCAGTGAAGATGATCAAATCAAGGCTTGATGCTGTTAAGAAATTATGTAGCACAAACAAAAAAATACTTATTAATGGGTTGAATAGCCCTAAAAAATCCTAAGATTTGGTAGTGTCATAAGAGCATTAAGTGTTGCAAACATGAGAAGAGCCTTTGATATTATTGCTGACTATAGCTGCTACAAGATAATTGGTCACTGAAGACAAAGGTTTCTTTTCTCTCATATTGTTAGGAAAAACACTGAGGTCACCTGTTTGGATCCTTCCAATGTTAGAAAATATATTCTAATGTAGTACAATACTGTTTTTTAATAAATCTTTGTTTATTAGATAAAACATTTTTAAAATTTAAATCCCTTAATTTAACCTGATTTAGTTTTAATTGCAAAATTGACCTTTTGAATTAACTGCATCTAAATATCAATACGTGCCTGTTTTTTACAGGTTAAAATTGATTGAAATTGATATAAAATTGGGAATCTTTATTTCTTTTAATTAGAAATGGAAATTAGTTTCTACTTGAAATCATTCTCTCATCAAAAGTTTTTGTCAGCCACATATCCTATTTAGTTTTCTGGTGAAAGTAGTCAGAGGCATGCCTTGGAATAAAAGAAATCCCACATAGAAATTCTAATCTTAACGCTAATGATAGTAACACCTGCATATTGGGTATATTCCTTGGTAACTCATTAGGTGAAGCTTTAATGACATTTTGACTGAATGTTTGTTTCACAACTTTATACCAAACAATCCAGAGCTTCTAGTGTCTCCCCCCCATGGTTTTTCTGAAATTGTTTGTTTCTGATTGTACTATAAATCATGGCAAAGTGATCTCCTTCTGAAAAGCTGTAATGGAAAAGCAGGCCTTTTCAGAAACCCCGCTGAGGTCTGGGTTTCTGCCTGTACTGTTCAGCATTGTTCAATGGTAAATGGTACTGCATTCAGATTTGAAGAGAAATGGTTTGGTTGCATGCCATGTTGTCACAGCTTTAATGTTGCATTTTACTTCACACAATTTTACATTAATGATGGTTATCTTTCCACTGTCAAATATGCATTTCCTTCTGATTTTGCTAGCACATGAGCAGTGTTTTAATTAAAGTTAATGTGGGTATGTGCAGCTGATGGCCTACCACAGGCCTAGTCTTGCAATATCTGAATGGTGTCTAAAGGAGCCCCTGGAGAACTTCTAAAAGAGGCAGGCTGTTCTCTGAACTCCCTCACTGGAAGGGAGATCCTTCATTTCATTTTCACTAGAACGATAGCTGATGCCTTTGTTTTATCACAAGCATTGTGGGAAATGGAGGAACACCTAGTTGTAGTTTTATTTCAAAGATGCAGGAAAAAAATAAATATTGGAAAAAGGCAAATCTTTTCAAAGTGTACTGGTTTTCAAAACAACAGTATCAGGCTTAAGCATCCCAGGTCTGTAATTGACATGGTTTTCTACGTATGTTATAGAAATATTGTGAATACAATTATTACTGATACTTTATTAATATGAGTAAAGATCAAGAAAAAGTAACATAAGAAAATATTTTAGAAGTCACTGCAAACACTAAATGCCTAATGCATGTTTCTTCTTGTAACGTGTCAATGCCTTGGAATTAAAAAGCCTTCAAATATTCCACATACACAGAGAGACTTTTATTGAAATGCACACCATCAGACATAGATTTACTTTTCTTAACCACTGGTACTTTGTTGGAGAGTCATGGAAAACAAGCCTTACCTGAAAGACACACTGGACCGGTGACGTATTTGTACAAGAAATGCTAATACAGACCGAAAAACATCCCATTTAGAATGCAAATTGATGTCATTTGTAGTTATGATTTCCTTCCCTAAAGCCACTATGATTAAAATGGATTATATGAATGTTAGGTATTCAGGTCTGAGTTTCATCCAAATGAATCGGGCCTGTTGAAATTTGCTTCATTGTGAATTTTGTGGCAGATGAAGAAAAGGGAATGAAATGCAGCCCACTACAAGCCAAGTCTGAAACAGTGTTTGTTCTTAAATTAGAAGAGGTGTCCCTCATAGTTCCTTTCACCAGCTCTGCTTTATTGCTACCTCTGTCAGTAACTGTCTTGTCCAATCGTGGGAATTTAAGCAACCCTGACAATGCAGAAGGATATGAAGTGAGAGAGGAAGAAACAGAAAAGGAAAACAATCCCTTGGAGGCCCAGAATGAAATGGATTCAATTGATGAAACAGACTATAAATCAAACATTTATAAGGCTTCCTGCTGAAGGTTTCTGCTCCCCTGGAAAGGGCGTCTAAGGTAGCGGCTTGTTCGGAGCTCCATGTAGCCTGTGGATTTATAAAGTGCTGTAAAAGCCGACTGACAAGGTAGGTGGCTGTCATGGCTTTTGAATTTTGTCCAACCCTGGCCTCAGTGGCTCTTGGAGTGAAGGTGCACAGGTTGTGTGCTCATTCTGAGAGAAACCAGGCATTCTTTTCTGAGGATTTTGTGATAAAGCAGTCTCCTTCCTTACCTGTTCATTTAATATTTTTGGAGAGCACATACCTGGGTGTTGAAGCTGGCTGACTGAGAGAGGAGAGAAAACAGAGCTTGATGGAGGAATAGTTGTTGTTGCTGAGGATGTGTTCCTTCTGTATGCGTAGGAAGTACTGGCCTTTTCCTGTTTTTTTCTGGGGCAGTACGTTACCATGTGCACCGAAGCCAAATATTTTTCCCTTCTAAATGGATTTGATTTTTGTGTCTAATATTTTATACTGTAGTTTCTTTCTTCACTGGGTACTACCCGCCCCAGTAGACTCGCCTTCGCCAGACGGTGAAGATTACCCTTGTGCTAAAAAAAAAATGGAATTATGACATTTTAAAACACATTGTGAAAATATGAAACTGTAACTGTTTTCCCCTTTGAAAACAGAAACATATGAAGATAAATGCAAAATGTTTAAACACTGTGAATGTAAGTAAAAAGACTGATGTACTACATCAAAGTGGACACACTTGAACAGGATCTAGGTGAAAGAAGCCCTCAATATCAACAGGCGATAGACCCACTCCTCATTTCTAGAAAATGCCTACTGTACAGCTTTGTATTTCTACAATACTGTTGGCTGTTGTATGAGTTCTATGCTATTCGGAAATAATTGATTCTTGAATACATGCTTACAGCTCTTGAGTTATGTTGTGGAAGTAGCATTTATACAGACCTCTCATACTTGCTGTGTGCCATTGTTTTATAGTATTGAGAGAATCATGCAGTACTTCATAAATATTGGCAAAACCCAGTGAGCACAGTTCAGAGTTTGTCACCCCAGGATCTCCTTTCATTGGTAGACTGCACCATATCGGGTCCATTCATTCTTTTTGACAACCCTTTTATTCATGCTGCATTCAAATACATCATACAGTTTGCATAGAACCTAGAAATCAAAGCATGTACAATGATAAAAAGATATACTGTACTGCAGCAAAGCATAGTACACATAGCAGTGCACATACAGTAGCAGCAAAGAGTACTCTTTGACCACCTATCATTTTGATTTAAGATCTGGGAGAGGACTAGCCAGATCTGTTCTGAATTATATTCGCTGATCCATCCATCTCCTAACTGCTTAATATGATATAGGGTCACAGGGGAGCTGGAGCCTATTCCAGCTGGCAATGGGTGCAATCAGGATACACCCTGGACAGAATGCCAGTCTGTCGAGGGCAAACGGACACAAACCTGCACACACTCACACCAGGGCCAATTTTCCCAGAAGCCAGTTAACCTACCAGTATTTCGTTGGGCTGTGGAAGGAAACCAGAGCACCCAGAGGAAACACACATAAAACGCACACAAATACAGACTCCACTTAGGCAGCACCTTGGGTGTCTAGGACCCCAATACTCCCAAGCCAGCTGTG